GGGTAAGGTTTCCCCCCCCCCCCCCACTGCCCCCTTCTGCTTGGTGCAGCCTCTGCCAGATTTCTGCCAGGATAAATCTGATTTATTCATGTGATTTATAAGCTGCCTCTGTAAATAAATAAGAGCGTAAGTGGACTTCTGCTCTGTCATGCACAAATGACTGAATATGCAGTTTGTATTTACGACCGTTTGTGCTTATGGCAGACTAATCCCATGACTCCTTAACTACATAAACTTAAACCTGTGCATAAAAAACCCTGCCACCACCTTTTTTGAATCTATAGAACAAAAATGTTACTGGTTTGATTGAAAATCACAGATTGACTTTTAGAAGGGTAGTTTTCAGGATTCTTATTTCAAGAGAAAATATTCTATCATAGGAGAGCGCACCTCCTCTATTAATATTCATATGAAGGAAGTTAGCAGACAGATACTACTTGGAAAAGGGACCACATTCAATGGATGTTTATATCAGAGTTGGTGATTTGGACTGATTCTGCGAAGCCATTTTCTTTATCAGTTTATTAATATGGGGACTACTTTGACTGTTGTTCAGCAATAAACCACATCCTTTATATGCAGATATTCAAAGTTCTGTTCCAGGCAACTCCAGAAAGGATTGAGTTTCTGTCAGTGTAGGTAAGGCTGGGTAGAAATTTCTATTGATATAAAGCAGCCTATTAATTTCCCATGGAAATTAGGATCTCACCTGAGGTTAAGAACAGGTTAAATGTTAAGGATTCTCAAAGCGTTCAGGCTTATGGCTGGAATATCATCCTTCAGTTTTCAGTTTTGTGAAGATCTAATGAAAGACCAATGAATTCTAAGAATCTCAGAAAGTTCTCAGAAAGGTATTTAAGTCTGACCTATATTCTTATGTATTTGTGCATTGATTTGGTAGGTGAATGGCCATCATGTGTATGGAGAAAAAGGACAGAAAGGAGAAGCAGCTGTCATTGAACCAGTGAGTATGTTATTTATATATGTATGTATGTATGTATGTGTATTGACTGATTGATTGATTGATTGATTGGTAAATATTACAACCAGATGATATGAAGTACAACCAAAAATATACCAGCGCTAATAAAGTCAGAAAAAGTATGTAGAATAATGAATAAATAACTGACATTTGTAAAAACTAAAAGTACATCCATAAAATGTTAATATAGAACTAGTTCAGTCCTTTAACATACTATTAAATCTAGCCATATAGACCAATTATTGCTCCATCTTCTCAGTTTTAATAAAATATGTTCTTTCAATACAATGATATTATATAATATGCTTAGATTCTTAATATTCTATTATGTAGGTGCCTTAAGAGTATTAAATGTAGATAAGAAGAAAAGAAAAAAGTGGATACTCTACCAATATTAATTACAATTTTGAGTGAGTATAAGCTACTCCTCAAAAAGCTTCAGAGGTTGTTGCTGTTGTTTTCCTGCTTGTTTCCCTCTTGATAAATAGATCACAAAGAGGTGACTTCACTGTGTGAAAGGACATAAGTCATGGAGTCCTTTTCAATCTAGGGACCTTTTAGATTTACTAGCTTAAGTTTGTGTTACAGTGCAATCCTATCAATTCAGGAAAAGCTATAGCAGAAAGTCCCATGTTCAGTCTAAGCAGGAGGGAAAACTCTTTTCTGAAACCATGTGGAGATGGGTGATTAAGGATAGGAATGTGAACAGGTGGCTTCTAGGAGGTAAATCATTCCTATTTCCACTTTCAAACCACCCCAAATGGCAAAAATTATGCTACTAACCTTGGTTCTTGATTTTAGGCCATTTTGAGGTGGAATGTTTTAAGACTGAAAATAGTAGGAGCTCCCTACTCCTATTCTCATCTTTACTCTTTTTTTTATTTAAAAAAAGGGGGGAGGGTTACCTTGCAGTTTCAAGGCACTAAAAGCTGCAAACAGGATACCAGGGTCCACAGGCTTTCCACTAGTGCAGCAAAACACTGAGCTAGAAGAACTAAGAAAAAGGTTTAATTGAGGAGAAGGCAGCTTCCGTTATTACTTCTCAGAAGTAAACCACACTGAGTATCAGTAATTGTGCAACATTCAGCTGATCTTATAGATTTTACTTACTCTAGAGTAAGCTTGCAGGAGCTCACTTCAGATCAGGACATCAACATTGAGGCTAGGTTGGGTGAAAAGCTCGATGCAGTGAAATTCCCCATTGCCATCTATTTCCTTCTGAATTCTCTCTAGTTGGAATTTAAACCAAAAACTCTCAAAACACCCTGTCAACTTTCATTGGTGCCAATCAATATTCAGCTTTGTAAAGTGAGTCCCACTTAGTTATTCCAGTGCTCCTCCCTCCTCCCTTTACCAGAAAGTGGTCTTTTAAAAAGTATATTGAGGAGAACTGACATTAGATATTGAATCAGTGATGTTATCTTTAAGGCCTAGATGCTCCATTACTGCATTATTTTAAGGCACATTTAAGTATGCTCAAGAATGGCAATATGAGGCCTTGTGGGCTACATTCCCCACGGGCATTCCATGCAACTGTCCGTGTTTCCAACACGTTGCAAGCGTCCCAACTGTTTCTTGCTCTACCTGTTCAGAGATAAGCCTGGGAAAAGCAAGAAGCACCAGCAGAAGGGCTTGATCACTATTCTGAATCACCTCTTTGTGGGGATGATCTTTATGATAGTGGATCATAAATGCTGTACTTTTCTGATCTGTGAGAGTTTTCTTCCAATTTGCCACTGTTTCTCACTTTTAAAATTTTGTTCCTTTCCATCTTTAGTTAAAATTCCTACTGCTGGCAATAGTTATTTTCACTATCTCCTTTAAGGAGGATCATAGTAATAGATATTGCTGCTAGCCTAGACGATGGCAGAATATAAAATACATAAGCCAAAATTGAATACACATCAATAATAGAGAAACATTTGTGAAAACGTAACCCAATGAATGTCTGTCTTTCCAAGTCACTCTAAGCCTTCTACTGTGGCACATGCCAGGTCCTTCTCTAATAGCGTGAGGAAGCAATGCAAATACCCTCTTAATAAACCATGAATATAAAAAGCTTCTGAAATAGCATGAAGTACTCCTGAAGCAAAAAGGCATCTGGTTTTTACTCAGCTTCGGTAAGATAGGTGTTGAAAAGCAGTGCTCATAATGGAACTGCTAGATATGTTTCTTTCAAGAAGCAAAAACAACATATTTGATTAGGTTTCTATTTAGAATAAAGATACATGAGTAAAGTGTTTTTTTTCCTTTGATATTTATATTATTCCATTTGCTAGTGTATCACTGTAGTAAGAGACTACAGGACTGTGTACTTTTATAAACAAAAATTCCTGGTGTATTCAAATCCAGATGTCAAGAGAATTGTAGGTATCTGTCTATGATTCACCTATTTTCTATATGAAAAGATCCCCCTCCCCCAATAATATTACGCAAACATTATATCTTTCCAGTATAATTCATCAACAGTTTGGCTCATCCAGCAAGTTGCTTGCCTAAGGCAGAGGTGGGCAACAAGTGGTCTGTGGGCTGTATATGGCCCCTAGCTCTTTTTTTTCCTTTCTTTTTACAACTACAAGATCACACCACTGAAATTCAGTGACAAATTGCCAATTCACAATTGTGCTTTTTTTTTTTTCATTTCTTTTAAAATAAGGATCAAACTGTGTGTGTTCAGCCATTGTTTCACTTACTGGCCCAATTCTCATATAAAACTTTCAATTTCTCCAAAAAAGTAGGCTGCAAAATTTGGCTGTGCCTTCTCCTCTGATATTCTCCACATTGCTGCCTTGCCCCATTTAAAAAACAAAAACAAAGAACAGTTGTCTTCCACTGGTCAAGAAAGCAGAGTTCATAATACTTCTTGGGAACCATATAATCAACTGTGGGAATATGCGATACCAGTGGCAGGCTTGCAACTAAGGCTGAACAGAGCATCAGGATGATTTTCATGGACATTTTTATCTACACTGAGAGCTAATTTCCTTTTATAGGATGTTGTTTGAACCAAAGGCAAAAGGCAACAAAACGTTCAGAAACTGCTCCACTAAGTAGGACAAGAGATATCTTTTAATCACCATGTAATCTCTCATTGCCTAGGATTACTCAAGAGATCAGTTGTGGAAGCTCTGCAATTATGTTGTCTCACCTGTATTTACTCTTTGACCCACCAGCAACAGAACATGTAGACAATTCTGAACTTGCCTTATAGTGTACTGCTATTACTTGTCTAGAATCCCTTAAATCAGCCTCCCAAATCTGTTTCTTTTTAGTTGTTTTAGGACAACAAATCCCAGAATTCTCACTCAACATGTTTAAGTTGGCTGGGAATTTGGGGCATTGAAGTCCCAATTCATCTGGAACAAACTAAACTGAGAAAGACTGCTCTTAACACAGAAACAAGCCCTACTTAAGGGCAGAAAGTTGGCACCAAATCAATAGCATACGTGGAAATAGAATATAATAGAGAGGTGTGAAAAAATATAACATGCTCAGCATGGGCAGGGAATTCAGTGACACATTTGGAAATCCTTGATGTTTGGTCTGAAAATCAAAATGGTAGACTATTTCATACTGAAGTAGACTGCAGCTCTTGATGGGAAATAAAACCTCTTTAATGGTTGTAGAGTTAGACAATAAAGGCCTGATGCGGAAGCATCTAGAGCAGTGTTTCTCAACCTTGGCAACTTGAAAATGTGTGGACTTCAACTCCCAGAATTCCCCACCCAGCATGCTTCATGTTGCCAAGGTTGAGAAACACTTGTCTAGAGGGAAGGAAGGGTTAACAAAGAATGACATAGCTCAGTAACCAGACACCTCTAACCCTGTTCAATAACGCTCAGGTTTTTCTTCCTCTTTTGGAAAAGGCAGTTGAGAGAGAGGAAACTATTCTTTAAGAGTTCTCTCTTTTTAATATTCTGTGTTTTGGGGCCTGTGGGAATGCAGACCCTGAAGGTAAGATGATGTGGCTTCAGGAAGTTCTGTTCTAGACTTCTGAACAGGCTATTGTAGACTCAGAGTTTTGTGTTGGATTCCATCTGGCCTTTTTATTTGGTTATGTGATTGATATCTATAACCTTTAATTATTCTTAATTAATCATTCTTTAATTAATCATTATTCTTTAAATAATTATTTTCAATCATGGTCATAGTATTTATTGAACTTGGGAGGACTCAATAAACCTGCTTTTATATTTATTCAAACTATTCCCAGCAAGGGAGAATGGGATAGCTTCTAGTACCATGCTTTGAAGCTGGGTGGCCTAGGGCTTATTCCTCAGTGGCTGAAGCTTTATTTTTTCAACCCAGTTGGAGAGTATTTAGGGAGCCCTATTGACCCTAGATAGGAAGACCCAAGGGAAGCCTGGCCAGTTGGTCTCTAGCAGGATAAGTGGTGGCAGCTGCACTACCAAACACACAACTCTGGCAAGTAGGCAGAACTAGGATAAATACTGACCAGAAAAAAATGTTAGCTAGGAAACCTAAGAAACCTATTTACCCTGGCCCACTGATTATTACAAAATTTAATACCGAAAAAAAATGCAGCACAAAAAGTTTTGCAAATTATGGTTCATTTGATGCTGTTCACACTTTCCAGAATAAGTGTTACATATTTTGCATTCATACATTACATACGCTACATATAATACTTTCCTCTTCTTCCTTAGGGAATGCTTATTGAAGGACCTCCAGGACCTCCAGGACCGCCTGTAAGTATATGGTTTCTAAATATTATTTTCATTAAAATTAATGATACTGTTAATAAAGATATTTGCATGACAACTCCAGGGTGGCATGTATACAACGTGGATTTTCAGTGAGAGCAGGTTGTTCCTTTTTGGAAATTGTGTTGTTCACACAGCTGTGTATTTTTGTTTCTGTTGGGCAACCATTACTGACTCACATATTTTGCTGGTTCGTGATCCAAAATTAGTAGTAATCACTGTAGTAAAAAGTTATTTAGGATAACTAATAAATTCTGTTTTTATTTATAGGGTCTTATGGGCCCCTCTGGTATGCAAGGTCCCATTGGTCCTCCTGGTGACCCCGGTGATAGGGTAAGTCAGTGTGGGTTGCAAATGAGCATACCAAGCATGCCAGATGGAATGACTAGGAGTGTAATGTGAGACTGAAACAATTCTTAAGGACCTGCAACTGCTTTATAATCTCTTATTGCAGCTTAATGGAGTTCTCTGTGTTTTGCAAAATCACTATATAAATAAAATATCTTCATTCTGACAATGAATTCAAGAGTTCTAGTTGATCCATTTCAGGTCAAATTTGACACTGTCCCAATCTGAAATAATGGGAGTTTTAGAAGTTCTCAAGATAGTCTTCAACCTGTCCCACCTGATCGCACAGGGAGGGCATGCTTCAGACCCCCTCAGTAAAAGAACTCCATCTAGCGGGGTCCAGAAGGTGGGCCTTCTCTGCGGTAGCCCCCGCCCTTTGGAACATTCTGCCCCCGGAGGTGTGATTGGCTCCCTCACTCCTGGCCTTCC